TGGGGGAGCAGGGATGGGGGGGGGTGGTGGTGGGGTTGGTCCAGGACTGTGTATCCCCCTGGGATGGGGATATCCATTAGAAGGGGGGCTGCGCTGTCCCCTGGGGGGGGAAGGGCTCACCTGGGAATGAGGCAGTGGGCTGCTGTCATCACCCACTTGGGCCACACCAGGAAGCCCCCGCAGACATGCTGCCCGTCCATCTGGATGGAGGCGATGAAGGGCCGGGAGTGGGGTGCCACCGCCTTTCCCCCGATGATCCGGCTCCCCTGGGCACCTGGGGGGGGGGGGGAGGGGGTCACCGGCGCAGTGGGCTGCTGTCATCACCCACTTGGGCCACACCAGGAAGCCCCCGCAGACATGCTGCCCGTCCATCTGGATGGAGGCGATGAAGGGCCGGGAGTGGGGTGCCACCGCCTTTCCCCCGATGATCCGGCTCCCCTGGGCACCTGGGGGGGGGGTGGAGGTGGTCACCGGCTGCTGGCAAGTCTGGGCACGGCTCTTGCCTGTCTCTGTCCTGCTCCTGCCTGTCCCAGGCACCCCAACTCTACCCCCCGGTACCGGAGGGCGGCCAAGCGTCGGCTCTGCCCGAGGACAGCCGGGTGGCTGGGCAAAGTCTCCCCGGCCCCCCATTGCTCCAGCCTGGGGTCTCCCTCTCCCACTGCGGCTGTGGCGACCGTCCCTGCAGCCCTTTCAGCCCCAGCTCCCCGTTACCTGCTGGGGCCAGTGCCGGGAGCAGGATGGAGCCCCCCAGGCTGAGGATGAACAGCCCAGCCGTGACCATGCTGGCGCAGAGCGGGGCCACCGTCACCTCCTCTGGGGCCGCTCAGGGTGGGGGTGCTTAAATAACCCCGGGGGCTGAGCCTGGGGGTATTTCCACCCACTTCCTCCCCTCCGGGGGTTGCTGCCTTGTGCAATTGCTGCGGGGTGGGGGGCACAGGCGGTGCCGTGCCAGGGGGATGCAGCGTTGCAGCTTCCCCTGGAGCAGAGCAGCCGCTCGCCGGGAGGAGAGCAGGTTGGGGAAGGAAGAGAGAAAACAGAGCGACTTCCCGACACCGTCCTGGCTCCTCTTGTGCCTTGAGCTAATCAGGATGAGGCCCCTCTGCTCTTGGCAGAGCGGGGGGAGCAGCAGGACCCCCCACATATCCCCAGACACTTCCCAGGCAGTGTCCCCAGGGCCGGCCGGCAGCCTGGCTGCTGTGGGTGGCACCGGGACCGTGCTGTGCTCAGACCTCAGTCCTCTCTTGGGCCCTCCAGGGATGGCCTGGCTCTGGGATGGTGCTAAGGGGAAAAGGGGCAGTTTGCCCCCCTTATCTGCAGCCCCCCGGGGTGCAAGAAGGGCTGTGGGGCGGATCAGGGTGGGAGGACAGGGGTCTCACAGCCGGGGTCCCCTCGCTGCTGAGCTGGGCTTGCCCCGGGGCTGAGCGTGGGGCCGTGGCCCCGGCAGCGGGCAGGTTTCCCAACGGCGGTGGTCGGGGCTGGCCCGGGGCTTCCTGTGTCGGTTTGCCCAACGCGACCGTTGCGTTGAGAAACGGAGGATCGGGGAGGGGGGACACGCAGCCCGGGCTCCCCCCTTCATCCCCTCCCTTGGCACCGTCGGGGCTGTGCGCGGGGGCCCTGGAGAGGGGTGCAAGGAGCGTGGCCTTTGGCCGGGGGGTGTCTGGGCTGGGGACCCTCCTGGGGTGGCCCCCCCCACCCACCCCACCCTGCCCGGGGCGAGGAGCCGGCAGCAC